ATGAAATGAAATGAAATGAAATGAAATAAAGAAAGGTAAAAAAAGAAAGGAAGGATAAAACGTGACTCGCGTTTTTGTTGAAAATGATTCTGGACACGCAACCTGCTATACCAATGACGGGATGGAAAACATTTAGGGCAATTCAGGGCATTTCACGGGTAGACCCTCAATAGAGGTTTTGCACCATCACGTGATGGCAGCCACGACAGGAGGCAGGAACAATTGATTCTGGTCTAATCTGATTTACATGAGAAAGGATTCAGTTTCCCAGGGGGAAAAGACTCTAATGTTATGCCCCCTGTCATGGCTGCCGCCATGTGATGGTGCAAAGCCTCTATATCGTGGAATCTTGAAGAAACCTCTGGGCTGATTACACACAAAGTGTCACACACAAAACCCCAATGGAACTAAAACTCACTCTCCCTTGGCTGGTCTGACATCCAGATAGTTCTGCTGTACGAACAACGGCATCAGGGAATAGTCACAGAAAAACAGATGTGACTTGTCGATAAGGCTCAGCTTGGAACTCTCCGAGGATGAAAGTAACTTCCTGATGGCATCAAACGGACCCTGCAAGAAATCGAGTAATTTGCAGTCAAAAAAATGTCTGCTTATTTAAAATAAACTATTAAATGTTTGCATGCAGAATGGCGGTAGTAATGAAGTTGTATAACAGTGGTGCTAATTAAAGTGCTCAAGGTTAGCTTAGTTGATAAGAGCGATGGTGTGTTGTGCGGGAGGTCGTGGTTCAAGCCTTGGCCGGACCAACACTCAAGGTCTTAAAATAACTGAGAAGGTGCTGCCTTTGTAATTACATCTGCAAATGGTTAGACCTTCACATGGCTCGGATAACCCCGTTAATAATGGTGGTCCTGTCCCTAATCAACTAGAGACGTTCATAAGAGGATCACGAGTTTATCAGTTGAAGTACTGTCAAGTTTCATCCTCTATAAACATTGATGTGATGTTTATAATGTGCACATACATAACAACATAGCCATCATTATGGAAAAAATTTAAAATGCTGTACCACTGGATTATTTACCATCCAAAATGTCGAATTGTCAATTTTACCTTACCATTTTAATATCTTTGTGTGCTTTGTTGGCATCGCCTTTTGCCTGGTCGTACGTCATAGTCTTGTTGGTCGATGTCCACATGGACATATTATGTAGCACCTAAGAAGACACGACCAGAAGTTGAAATCGATATGATCTGATAATGCGCACTGGAGACAACCGTGCAAACCAGGGATGACGTTAAGTTGGTTTTTTTTTTTAGAATTTTTCATCCTAATTGTAAAGAACTAGGTTGCCAAGCATTTATTTCCTGGTTGTCACGTACCAGTATATGAATGGTCCCATGTATGTAAACTGAACGGCTCGTGTGCTAACGCGATATCCGTATGTCAGTCCATACGTGTCTACAAAACGGGAGTCTTATGTATGGGTGTTTAAACGCACGCACGTGTGTTTGGGATTGAGGAAGGAGGGATTTGAAATGCTTTACCTGTCGCACATCTTGATTAGCTCCTACGATAATTTGTTCCATAGCAGGCGCTGGAATCTTTAGRCCTTCTTTAAAAGCGATGCTCATCATCGCACCCTGCAACAAGAAATGGGATGGTAAATATAATATTATTTACACCATCCCTCCCTGTGAGGGACTCTTCCGTGAGATTTAGTCTGCGGTACACTACCACTATGTTTAATTACATAACATAACTCAGTCTCAACTCACATGTGGATTTTTACGGAAGGAGGAAAACCCTCGTGGCAAGGGAGAGAACACAAACTCGACGCACATATTTGGTACAGTTATCACATAAGTAAGAGCCTATACGTGGTGGTAAATTTGATTGAAAGCAGCAACAACAACAACAACCGCAACAACCACAGTTACATCAACAGCAACAACAGCGACAACAGCAACAGCAACAACCACAGCAACATCAACAGCATCAAAAACAGGAGCAACAGCAACAACAGCAACAGCAACAACCACAGCGACATCAACAGCAACAGCAACAGGAGCAACAGCAGCACCAACAGCAAGGACAGCAACAACAAAAACAAAGACAGACAGACAAGAACAAACAAATAATCCAAACTAAGAAGTAAAAGTCAGAGGCTATGTAAACACAAAAACCTCAATATACAGTGTTGTATGAATGAGTAAAGATGCTGGTTGATTCTCTACCGTTCTTAGTCTAACTTCCAATTGGGATATTCAGTGGAAGAAGAGCCACTAGAAATGCCACTGTTAAAACCCATTGATTTATTATTCATTATTATTAATATTAATTGATTGTTGAAATACCTTAATTTGTTCGACTCGAGGTCGTTGAAACCTTAGATCAAAGCAATGATTGACCAGACTTCTTATTTTTTGACTGTTACGATCATTACACATACAGATGATAGGGATCTTGCTTCCTTTAATCAATGAGATTAACTCCTGCAAAAATCAAAGGTACAACTTTGTTAGAGCTGTGCTCCGGGGTCATACATGGACTGTATAGCGGCTGCCAGAGGCGCCTTCACGTGCTTTCAGTTCGACCTCGTTGACCTGTGCCACAGCTGTAGTTGCGGTCGTGATTATAGCGGTAACGAGTTTATTTTTATCTTTTAAGACAGGGTGATACTTCATAGGTAATGTGTAGTGGTAGTGCAACCGACTTTCATTTCTGGGGTCTCGAGTTTGATTCCTGGGACTTGTTATCACGAATGAGTAGAGTTTGTTAGGTCTCTCCATCTTGATTCGAGGGTTTTACACCGGCTTTTCATGTTTTCCTCCCCCAGCAATACACTCTAAATAGAACTCATCCACTGTTTTCCCATTTCAGACCGCGTGTCATTCCCTGAAGTATTATTTCTTTGTTTAACGGTTGCACGTGAAAAGGCACATTAACATGGATAAAACTCAAACGAAGAATCTTATTTTCACAAGAGTGACACGTGGTYTGAAATGGGAAAAACAATACACCCAAGTGGATTTGGTCCATTCCAATTGAACGTTTTCTCAAGGTTGCGTGCGCATTCAAATTTAAGGAACTTGACGGGCCACGATACCAGAACACGAGTATTATCATGCATTGTTATGCAATTTTTTCCGATTAGAACTTATAAAATCAATTATTCTCCTCTTTAAATATAAAACTGGCTTCTCAATTTTATTAAATTTGCGTTTTTCAGTTTTGTGGCCCGTCAAGTTGGATGCGCACGCAGCCTTGAGAAAACTGTTTATTGGATCTGTGAGTTAGCTGTGCCCTGACTTAGATTTTGATCTAGCAAAGTTTGTTGAAGGATTTGAAAACAAAAAACAAAAAACAAAAAACAAAGGATTTGCGACCAAGCAATGATAACCTTGTGACCCATTATGCTTAACATTTTTAAGAGAGGTGGAATTGCAACGTGGCTTTATTAAATGCACCTATGATGAATGTATTATTGCACTGCATTTACCTGCATTCCACCCCTGTCTTCGTTACCCGCCATACCGTCAACTTCATCCATGATAAGGACATGTTTGGATGAGTCTTTAGGGGATCCCTTAGAACCTGAACAGTAACAAATAGAACTTAGTGTAATGTCACTTGATGAGCCGCTTATTGGCTCTTGGTGAAAACATTGAGGAAAAAAATATGGTTAAATGAAAAAAATAAAACAAACAAACAAAAAAAACAAAAAAAAAACAAAACAAACAAAAAAACAAATAGAACATATGGAGAAAGTATGAAGTACTGTTGATGAATTAATTTATATACTACTGTATATTATTTTATATGCTATATTTATATAGCGCCCTTTCTATATAGATATAATCATTACATTAAGTAAGCGCTTTACATTAAGTTGTGAATGACAGATTGTTTTTTTATACAATTTACAAGCATGAGAGACGGTTAGTATGAATTGTAGGCACTGAGGGTGGTCACTGTCAGGGTTTCTTTACGTCCTCAGTGGTTCTTTTACGTCCCTCCGATGTTGGTTAATAATGATGGAGTGTGGGAAGAAGGGGCCGCCATTTAAAGTTGTCATCCGAGCCACTTGAAAGTCTAACCATTTGCAGATGTAATTACAAAGGCAGCACTTTCTCCTCAGTTATTTTAAGACCCTTAGTGTTGCTTCGGCCGGGACTCGAACCACGATCTCTCGCAGCGCGGCCATGACAAATGACAGAACAACAGAATCCCTTTATTCTGGGGAACTGATATTTTTCTTATGTTAAACGATTACATTGTTCCTGCCACCTAACATGGTCACCGTCCTGCAATCCTCTAACAGATACACATCACCCACCTCCTACAAACGCATCAATACTTTTGTTGGACAGTAATTCGGACACATGTTCATCCAAGCACTTCTTATTCCTGGAATCACTTGCGTTCATTTCCACATAGCTGTAGCCCAGTTCCTGGCAGACCAGAACAGCTGTGGTTGTCTTGCCAACACCTGGCGGACCAGACAGCAGCGCCGCCTTGAAGATTGCACCGTCCTGATCTTTTTGAAAGAAGGAATCTAAAACAACAAGCCATACAGGAATGAGACAAACTAATGGAGAGAAACTAATGAATAGAGCAGTACTCATATGACTGTGAAAAACTCGCGGCACGAACACGGACGTGACACGCCAAGGCATGATTCGCTCTCCATTCAATCAAATACCCAAAGCACGGTTCAAACACTGGGAGGTCATGGTCACGCCATGGTCACAGTACAGCCTGACCAATCACTTTGCGCGAGAAACAAATCAGCCAATCAAAATTCTAGAAAACAGCTTGGTCACCCCAACACACACTTTTTATAATGCTCTGCAGTCGTTGGTTAGTTGCAACAAGTTGCAGAGACAATTGCTCCGTGTAACCGTGCCTTTACTACAATTATTTTCCCAGGCATAAAAAAGCACTGCTACTTACTTTTAGGGTGGGTTTTTGTTCTATTTTTGTTCCAGTTTTTAATCCAGTTTATCAATTTTCTCATGTTACTCTTGTCTCCTTGTTGACCAATGATTTGTTTTATGGTGCTTGGCTTGTATTTATCCACCCACATCAAACTTTCAGCTGCTTCAAAATAACAATATTCATTCAATCTTGCGGTTTAAATATCTGTCTTCCTCTCTGAATGCCTGCCTGTCTTTCTGTCTGACTGTCTATCTGTCTGTCTGTCCGTCTCTACCTGCTTGCCTGTCTCTATTTGTCCATATGTTGGTTTGTATGTCTGTCTGTBTGTCTACTTGCTTGCTTGCCTGTCCGTCTGTTTGTCCAGATGTCTGCATATCTGTCTGTCTGTTTGTTTGTCTGCCTGTCTGTTTGTCTGTCTGTCCTTTTGTTTGTCTGTCTGCCTGTCTATTTGTCTGTCCTGCGTCTGTCTGCTTGGCTGTCGGTCTGCCTGCCCATATGCCTGCCCATATGCCTGCATATTTGCCTGTAGATCTGCTCACCTTTCTCTCTCTGCAGTTAGTTTTTTTAAGCGTAGTGAAATAATTTCATTACTAATACTTTCAAACCTCTTCATGCTTTACCTTTTACATTTGTTCCTGAAGGTGACTGAGTAGCAGGAGATACGACAGACTTTTGAGAAGCAGCAGCCTCCCCCTGACTTGAGCAAGGTGACTCAAATGGAGCCTTTGTTTTTGAAGTTGTCTTCAGGGGAGACTCAGGCACAGACGTTTTTGTCTTCTTTGCAGGCGGTTGTTCTGCAGCAGTTTCATAAGAGCTCTTCTTTCCTGGAGTGCTTTTTATTAGTTCATAGAATTCATCTTCGTTTATTATTTTAGTCCCTACTGTCTCTGCCTAGAGGAGAAAATTGTCGAAAATTTAGAATCAGTATCAACATAATAGACCAATTTAGTTTGAATAAAATGTTTTCCCATTTTAAACATGTGTCATTCCCTAAAGTATCATTTCTTTAAMAGTCGTGCATGACAGGAATATGTCAATACATGTATAAGACAAATCGTTTTGTCACCGAGTGTTGTCAGTGAATTGTGCATGTTGTCAGGGGTACTTACATCAGAAGTATATGATACTAGTGAATTCAGAAGAAAGCACTGATAATCGACCTTAACCACCGGTGACATGTGTCGGTATTATTAGTATTAGTTAGTATAACTATTAGATACCGTACTTTTGACATTTCATTAAAAAAAAACTTTGTGACAAAACGTTTTTTACACTAAACTCAACTGAGAGGCATATTACCATACCTTGGATGTTTTACTGGCTCCTGGATCTCTGCCCACAATCAAATAACTAGTCTTTTTACTGACAGCTTGAGTAAATTTTCCTCCATATCTTTGGATGATATCTTGAGCATCCTCTCTTTCAATGGTCTCCAGGACTCCACTAATTACAAATACCATTCCTTCAAAGCAGTTCTCTGCACCCTGAAAATCATATATACATTACAAGCATGAGCCAATAATGTCAGAGCTCCTGTAGTCTATCTCATTTTGAAGACATGGTGGCCGAGTGGTTGGTGAGTCGGACTCTGGGTCAACAGGCCTGGGTTCGATTCCTGGCCCTGGCAGTTGCATTATGTCCTTGGGCAAGAAGCTTTACTTCCACCTTGCTTCACTTCACCCAGGTGTATAAATGGGTACCAACAAATCGTTAGGGTAACCTGACTTGTTGATGGGTGACCTGATGGACTAGCATCCCATCAAGGGGGAGTAGCAAGACACATTCATGCTATGAAAACCTGGTTAAGCACTAGCCATTTTTGGCCTTCATGACCCAAGTGTTGTAGTATTGGGCTACCTGTGTAGTCTGTACTCCCTTGTTGGTTACCTGTGTTTGTTTTCATGCCTCATGGTGTCTGAATAAAAGGTTGTTAGAAGCACCTGAATCGTTCTTAGTCTTGGCCATTTTGGCCAATAAATACTACAAGTGTGACTTTTCCTTAAGTCTCTCTCATGAGACAATAATTTTTGCCCCTGGAGGCTTCCCTTATCTTTCACCTCAACAAAACCTAATCAGCTGAATTTAAATTTCTAAACAAAAAAAAATTGGTTTTACCACTCCATGGGGAATGGAAAGCCTAACCCTTTTTGCAACCCACTTGATAAGGCTACTGATAGATGGAATTAGAATTCAGAAGTTGATTTTTGTGGATGGAGGAAAAACTATATAGTATTATTTTGAATGAGTGTAGGAAGAGACACTTGCCTGTGGTATCTCTTTGGTACCAAGAGCCCTTGGACCATCCCTCTGCATGAAGCTTCTGAAGCTTGATTTCTTTTTTTCCAGAGAAGGAGGTTCTTCATCAGTTTTCTCTTTTGGTTTTTCTGGAGTCTTCTTCTTGGGGGATTCTTTAACTTGAGAATATTGGTTAAATAGGAGGGTTTTAAAATAATGTTGGGGCATTTATTTATATCGTATGATAAATGTATTTATTGCTTTTATAAAAAAAAGTGTTACAAATCTACTGATTAGTTAGGAGCGCATGCTATATGAGAGCCGCAGCATGCACGCACGCACACTATCCAAAATAACAGTTATTGTTGATAGTAATTTGTATGTTACAAAAGAAATAAAACATTTGCTTGCTAACTAACTTGTATGTTCATCTCAATCTCACCAGTTTTCACAGGACTAGGAGTAGGCTGAGGCTTCTCTTGCTTTTCAGCAGGTACTGGTGGTGGTGTTTCTGGAACAAGGTACGTAGCTGCAGCCTTGGATAGCTTTCCTGCTAAGGTTTTCTTCTCCTTTGCTGGTGACTTGAAAAATAGATTACTGCATTATGACAAATTACATCAACAAAACCAGTTTAGACTCTGAGATAAAGTTACATGGTGATACAAACAATTAAGAGTAGTAGTGATTACTGTTAAATCAGAAGTCTACAAATGGCCAAAATGCAAGACCAATGTTACTAATAACAGGGTCATAGTAGAAAATGTGGCTATTGACACAGTACTGATACCCTCCTGACATTATACTGATACCCTGGATCTACCAACATCCTACTGACAAGCTACTGATGTCATACCATTATCCTACTGACACTCTACTAGTACACTACTGACATCCTACAGACACCCTACTGACATGGACCTACCAACATCCTACTGACAAGCTACTGACTGCCTACCATTATCCTACTGACACCGTACCAATACTCTACAGACATCCTACAAGTAT